TCGGACGTGTTTGAATACCTTTGATGTCGTCTTCCATAACTCGGCTTTGACGACAATCCGATCTTCGTCGTGTATCAGGATCGAAAGTCTCTGATACCAAATAAAGAAGAACTCAAAGAATAACTCTTTTTATTATATTTAAAAAATAGCTCAAAACTAAACACTTGTCTTCTTACTTTTGATCACAACTCAATCAAGGTATTTATAGTCATAACACAACTTTGCTATTCTTATTTGATAATGGAAAACTACTCTTTTCCTATTATAAGAACAATAGATATTTTTTTTTTTTTGCCTATCGTATCCATAACCGACTTGTTGATGGATGTCTTGGACTACAAGCCATTGAAGCTTTATCCAACAAACATCTACGAAATTTTATATTTCAGATATTTCGTCAGAGACAAATCCATGTGTCAGATTTTATTGTATGTTTACGATATGACTGTTTTCCTAGCCTTACAGAAGCTATGAGAATCTTCATGTAGTACATGTAGGCCTTTATACACTGGATTTTTTTTTTGTCGGATTACGACGTGAGATTTAAAATAAAATAAAAAAACTTGAGAGTTATAAAAACTGATTACAAACTATCCAAACCGCTTAATTTTCGTTTCTGTCTAAAGTGAAAAGTCCGCCTAATGTCTAAAGCCTAGACCGGCTAGACGTGCACGTTCTTGAACACTGCCTGTAACCATTACATGCGTCTTAAGTGGAATTTATATGAAATATATGGTGTTTGTCTTTATGAACAGTGAAAAATAATACTAACAAAGTTATGCAACATCATTCACATCAAACAATTCTATATGCTATTGAAAGGAGAAATTTACTTTGATGGAATGGTCTTAGTTGGGCAATGTGAGGATTGTGTGGATGAAAGATGTTCTCACAATTTGTAACTTAGCTCAAAAACCGGAAGGAAAGATCTTGTACCAAATTCAAAGTACAAGATCCTCTTAACAATATGGAGATAGTTTTAAAACCCAATGACTTCGCAGACTAAAGCATTCACAACCAACAGAAAACTAAGATTAAGCTCTCCAGATCGCAAAACGTAAACGCATTACCGCTGTGGCGTTTTGAAGCAACTAAAGGCGATCAAGAATGGATTTTTAACCTACGGAATTGATCTTACACGATCGAGTAATAACCAAACAGTTATTTACAACAGACTTCAAACCAGAACAGACAAAATAAGACCCTAACAAAAGTCTCAGATTATCAAAAGTTTCTCTCCACGAAGATGAAAT